TATCTATCTATCTATCTATCTATCTATCTATCTATCTATCTATCTATCTATCTATCTATCTATCTATCTATCTATCTATCTATCTATCTATCCCTTGTCACTCTAGTATTTTATTCGCCTTTTGCAAGCACAGCAGGAAATTTAAACCTGCTTTGATGACAAATAAGATGTCTAAATAATCTTTCAAAAAGAAACTGTGGGGAGGAGGGTATTTAAATTGGCTACTGTGTCACAACTCTCCAACTGCCCCCTTTTTTTCTACGCCCATGCACAATTATATTAAGTAGGGCCAATAGGAACAAAGAAGAGGCAGGACCGAGGCTCCACCTCTCCCCGACTGCCTTCCTCTGAGCTTTTTAGATGTACATAATCCCTGAGTTGACCCAGAAAATAGGCAGTCGTTTCAAGATCTGATGCGGCAGTCTTTGTGCACACCGTCCCCGCTTGAGCATGAAGCGTAACCCTGTGGAATACACGCTGTAATTCAGAGGAGCTACGATTACAAGAGGAAAACTGTTCAAAAAGCCGGAGCTGAAGAAAAGTCGCGCAACTTTGTGGAAACGTAGTGAATGCGGGTAAGTGATTTTTTTTATCGGATTTATTTGTTGGGGAAATTGGTGTTTTAGTCTGTGGTGGTCTTGGGGGCTGCTGCTGCTGCTGCTGCTCCATTGTTTGCATTCCCTTGTTTCAAAGTCGAGATTACGAAAATGGATAACACTAGGCTAGAGTGTGGAGGATATTATCAGAGACTAACATTTAAACAAACGAATCGCCGTAATTGGTGGAAATCGGGAGCCTCTGTTTAATTTTATACCTTGTTAGAATTATGGTGATTCAGCTGTTGGGGAGATGTTGCATGATGTCAGTGTTCTTTGTTGCAACCTTACGTGCGTAAAATGTAACAGATTTTTCTGCCTCAGCTGTCATGCAACATATATAGGATTTTAAACTGTGCATTACGCGATGCACGCATTTTGCCTCTGTTTTGCCGATCCCGTCATGGATGAATTATCTGGCTTTAAAATGTACCCAAACAGTGTACGTTAACCTGTAATTTCAACCTGGGCGTTCATTCCTTGGCACAAAGAGAGAGCAGGTTTTAGGAAGACTAAACACACCAGTATTTCTCTCAGTATTAGCCAGTGGGCAAAACAACCTTGCAGATTTTTTATTTATTTATTCCACCGGAATCGATTTCGGTGGTTTAACTCGAGGTGGAATCGTGACATTGTAAGGAAGCGTGCATCTTTGTTTCTTTTCAATGAAGGTGAAGAGCGTGGTGACTGTAAAAGAAGTCAGTATTTATATAGAGACTCCGGTTTGGACTACACAGCCAAGTAAAACCTAAAACATGGTGACATTATTTCTGTTGTTGTCTTAACCAGTTTAATACTGGTTTAAATGGGTGGCTAGCTTTGCACATTCCATATTGCTTGGTGTTCTCCTAAATTTTCTTAGTGCTTTGAAACACCTTGCCTGCCCCTTACTTTGTTCTAACAGTGTCTCCTCTCTGTCCATAGACAGGAGGCATGGCAGATCATCTGATGATGCCCATGAATCACAACTCAGCGGGTGCCAGTCTCCACGGTTACAGGATGGGTATGAATAGCGGCCTGCAGGCAGGACCCCAGCAGCATGCCAACCAGCAGGGCATGAGGGTGCTGCCCAGTGGCCAGATGATGCACTATGGTGGCACTCAGGCCAACATGGAGACCGCCATGAGGCAGCGACAGGGCATGGTGGCTGGACCCATGAATGGACAGCTGAATGGGGCCCAGATGGGTCACCATCAAATGACCTCTGGTCACATGATGTATAATGGCCAGCCCCAGCAGCAACAACAACATCATCCACAACAGCAGCACCACATGCATCCGCAACAGCACCAACAGCAGGCCCAGCATATGCAGCAGCAACAGCAACAACAGTTCATGAATGGAGGATTAACTTCTCAGCAGCTAATGGCCAGCATGCAACTGCAGAAACTCAACACCCAGTACCATGGACATCCACTGGGTCCTATGGGTGGGAACCACATGGGGCCCACAGCCCAGTACCGCATGAGCCCAGCTCAGCTGGCTAACATGCAGCACATGGCTAGCCCGGCACTAGCCTTGAATGGCATGGATGCGGATATGATTGACGAAGATGTCCTGACTTCACTGGTAATGGAGCTGGGCTTGGACCGAGTCCAGGAGCTGCCAGAACTCTTCCTGGGCCAGAATGAATTTGATTTCATCTCGGACTTTGTCAGCAAACAGCAGCCAAGCACTGTTAGTTGCTGAGAGGACCTTATTTGCAGTTGCGCAAAAATGGAGACAGAAGAGTGAGAATTGTTCAGAACAGACGAAGAGTGTTCATTTCCTCACTTTTTATTTTGTGAGCACCTCTCCGTACGACTATACCACAATGCTGTGCAGGGTGCACAAAGGAGAACTCTGGGTATTTGCGTTGAATGCACAGGGCATGCGTCTTGTGCACTTGTGGCCAGAGGGTGGATGGCTTTAGGGCCCACTTCTCCTATTTCCTGGACATGAATGTAATAAAGAAATGCTGAAGTTCTTAAAAGCCACTCTGAACAATGCTATGACACTATGTAGCCTCCCAAGCCTGGACTCCAAGACAGTTTATCAGTTTAAAAAGTGTATTTATTTATTCCTATCTGAGAAACCTGATATAAAGAACAACCAGCTTCTCCATTTTGGGATCGAAGTGGTTTAATGATCTTTTTCTGAACGTAGGTTGGGGGCGGAAAATAAAATTAGTTTTCTGCAATTTTTATTTTTTTTCCCAACTCTATGTGGCATAGTCTTGAAATAAGCTCTGATGCCAGTGTCATCTAAAAGAGCATGGGTTTTTATTTTTTAAATTACAGAAGTAAAGTGTTGTTTCATTACAATGGGAGTTTCATCCAAATTTAAAAATGGTTCACTTTTCATGAAGTGCTGCCTTTTTAGATGTGATGTTCTGAAAAATCTACTGCTTGTACTGTATGAAGCTGTATAACTCCAACATGTCCACACTGTTGTGTTCTATTGGAGATGTAGAACCGCCTTAATCACGCAGATTCTTATTTATTGGTTGTTTATATTGTCCCCTTTTTGTGGTCGAGATGGGGGGGTGGGATGGTTTTTGTGAAAGGGGTTTCAAGGATCAATAAAAATGGCCTGGATAGATGTGTGGCCTGCTTTTCCATTCATTGCATAGCTCTTCCCTCAGGCAGTGCTTAGGTTAACCTCTGGGTGAATCCTCTGTTTTCTTTCAAATCTGAGAAGGAATGTTTTAAAAAATACATTATTTGTGCAGTTTGAGGTGGATATCTGGTCCAGATCTCCTGAGTTTAGTTTAATTTACCTTTTCATAGCTAAAACTAAGTATCACTGATAAGACCATGATTGACATGGTGATAACTGCAGTTTTCTGCTGCCTAGCGTGTATTATTCTAATGTACATTTCAATGACCGATGACATTCAGCATTTTTCTCCCCTTGGTGATTAAGTAAAATAAGTGTTTAGATGACATTAAAGGTGTTTGACAATATATCCAGTCATAGGGTGGTGTGCATTCAGTTTACAATGCTGAATCCAATTCTTTCTATTCTTTGTGTAGAGTACTTAAGTTATTTTTGATCGTGTTTTAACTGACTTTATGCACATAAACTGTAATTCAGAAATGGTGCCGTCCATAGAGGGTGGTCAAAGAAACTGACAATTGACTGTAAACAGTAACCAAACAAATTCAAAACAGCCCCTCTCTAGTCAGGGCCACTGCCTGTTGGAGGAGTAAAACAATTTTCCTAATATAATTGCATTCATTATAAAAATGAGGGTAAAGAGATTCTCTGCGGTGTCTGAGTTTGTTGAATTGTTTTGTGCCTCCGGGCTATGAAAATGCTTGATTGAGGTCATGTTGGGAATGTCATCACCACAGTTAGCTCTTCATATTGTCAACAAAGGCATCTTTAGTGGCATCATCAGTAACAAGGATGGGAAATGAGAGCATGGTTGCAAAAATAGTGTTAGCTGATTGCTCAATTTTGAAGTCGGTGCAGCTCTTCAAACAGCCACCTCTGTTCAGTTGTCCAATTGTGTTAAAGGCCAACAAGCTCAATTTGAAGCATGGTATAATGGATGGGCCAAGCTGAAATATCTTGGCCTAAATGCAGGGCATGTTTTAAATAACAAAGACTTGCTTAAGGGTGCATGTGTGTATGTGTAGATTTTCTTGGCTTGACACTAACATGAGAACAGCTCATAAGTAGGCCAACAGCCTTGGCACAGTGCTTAGTAACGGTTGCAGGTCCTTTTGCCCAGTGCCAATCTGGTGAGATGGTCTTCTGGTGTGTGTGGCACATGGGGCATGTTGGCACACTGTCAGAACTCAGAACTGTCTCCTCTTATATCTCATAATTGTACGTTGCACTGCGAGCTTCTTGTTCAGCCCCAATTAAATGCAGAGGGTTTTTTTTTTCTTGATTGCAACTCCATAGACGAGTGGCTAACTACGCAAAACAGCCCTGTTTGCTCTCTGAATCCCTTGTTATGACTGCCGCCTGCCTCACGGAGGCCAGTCTAGACGCAGGCTAAGCAGGGTGGGACACACGGAGACGTTTACTGTTAACTTCTGTTTTTCTTGCTCTCTCGTTTTCAGCCCACCCACAGCAACTGCTTCAGCACAACACAGTCTTCCTGTGGCAGCTTGCTGTTTTCTCAATATAAGTCACAGACCAAAAGCCACATTCTAAGACGTGCAGACAGGCAAATTGAAAGAGACAAAAGATAAGAAGAGAGAGAGAAATTGTAAGGATCTCTTGAGTTTACAATTAGAAATTAGGTGGAGGGATTTTTTTTGTGTGTTTTGCTTTTGCTCTCGGGGATTTCTTAGCTGGATTTTCCCACATAACTTTTATGATTCCAGTTAAAAGGAATAAACTAAAAAAAAAAACACACATCATGCAAAATACTTTACGTTCCTCTCTTCAGATCTCCATGTCTGCATTAAGTACTGTCTAGTTTTCTCTTTCCAGGCTGTGGTCCAGCTGGTGCCAAGCCTAAGCTCATGTTAATCTTTGGCCCTAGTGCCAGTGACGGATAGGTGGTCATTTGCTGTTGTCACGCATGGCCAGGTCTTCACATGCACGCACGTGCGCATCATCCGCACACAACCTGATCAAACAGGCTAACAGGGCTACCTACGTATCAGTGTGGAGCAATGGGAAGATAAAGGTTTTATGTCTCATCTCTGGTCATTGTGATCCTTAAAACGTCATCTGTGTTGTCGGATTATGTTTGAGTACTTGTGCAAATGCGGGTAGTGAGAAACATTCATAAAATGTAAAAGCAATGGCAATGGCAAAGCATGTTTCCTCTTCAGTTTTAATTTTGAAATAAAATTTTTCCCACCAGTGCGAGAGATGTGAAGAAATGGCTGAAATGCACATTGAGAGAAACAAAACAGGATATTAACCTGAGATTCCCAGATGAATGGACGAGTTATTTATAATCACTAAGAAGACTGGTTCTGTCTCTGAATACTGTGTGATGGTGGCACATGCTTGAACTTGCCTGCTTTAACGAGAGAGTTTGGTGGTGTTTGGCATGCTTTGTGTTAACATTGTGTCTGCGTGCTGGCAGAGGGTAAATAAACAACGGCTCCCTTAGGGCAGTGGCCATGTTGCTCAAGCCAAAGTTCCTGATTTTCTAGCTGAACGGTCACCTTGTGTCGCCACTTGACACGAAGTTTCATTGTGCACTGTTCTTCCCTGTACTTCCCTTGGCACAGCCAAAATATCAGATACTGCAACGCAAAAGGCCATCTTAGGGTAGCTGCTAGCTGTTGCGCAATAAAGAAGCAACAAAACCGTTTTCCACATGAGGAGGAAAATCATATTGTCACACTGTTTTCTGGACACAACAGTCTAGCCAGTCAGCTTTCTACATGACTCATACTGACAAAGCTTTTAAAAGAACAGATGGGTAATACATTTAAGCAAAAAAGCAATATAAATTGTCCTAGTAAGGCGTTGATTCAGTATGTGACACTGATCGTACATGTCTCTGAAATTTCACTGGTGTAATGCTGTCCCATTTGTGATTTTGATGATGTTGAAGAGCTGCTTCTAACATGTCAGTCCAGCATCTCTCGCAGGCGTTTAATTGAGTTGAGATGCGCTAGCTGCAAAGGCCACAGTGTACAATTTGCAGTGACCTGTCTTTCTACGTGAAAAAGTAAATTCAAACCATGTTTCAAAAAAAGAGCCATCGCAGTGTAGGAGTTGATAAATTCGGTTTTAATTTGTCATCTATATGTACCTTTTGTACCCTGTGCATACATCCTTCAGAGATAAATATCTAATTCTGGCATGTTGGGGCAGGTGAGACAGATGTTGCCTAGTGACTAGCAACTCCTCCTCCGACCCCCACCTCCCCAAATCTGGGGTTGAATGGCTTGCCAGCCCTTTGAAGTCAAAGGAGGGGGTGTAAATAATTTATTTTCCTGCGCGCAGCTGACACTTCTCAGCCAAGCCCGACTCAAACACATCAAGGTGTCCCAACAATGTCTAAAGGTGGTAAATATTTAGGGGTTGTGTGATTTACACAGTTGACCCAAACTGAGCAGTTGCTATTTCACAATTTTGTTAGAACGTTAACTCATGTGTCAGTGTGCATAACGCAAAGCAGAACTTGAAATTTCTGTGCACTCCATTGTTCATTTTTTGTTGTTGTTTGTCTGGTAACTGCACAGATTAGACGTTAGTCAGCTATACGTTTCAAACTCTAAGGTACTAACATTTAAAAGGCGCTGAAATGAAAAATCACAGGGACACTTATGTACCCTCATCTGAAACAAACCCTTTATGAGACTGTTAGATATATTGTACAGTGAGCTCTAATAATAGGGACGTAGCGTCGACGTTTTAAGCTGCTATTTGTTTATCATCAGTGGGTTATATAGTAACTTCTGTATTTGCAGTTTTATTTGACCTGTTTAGTGTCAACTGGGAAATTATTTGGGCCAGTCCAGGGGGGTTACAGATTCATATGATAGAATGGGTGAATGAGAGGGAAGCAGTCTAGTTCTGTACACAGTGTCTTTGTGAACAGGGCTTTAAGCCTCTGTGCTAATCTGTTGACAGTGGCAAGCACATGCTACCAAAGGCCGAGTAACAAGCCATAGGCTGTGGGTGGAATTACTGCAACAGAACAGTTGTTGTCCAGCCATTCATGTGTTATCCTGCTGGGGGAAATCCTCTGATAAAGTGTTAATTTTCACCTAGGCGACTGCTGTATCGATGCTGTTGTGCATTTGTGCTTTCTTTGCGCTCATCAGTAAGGTGATAAACAGATTTTGCCTTTGGATCTTCACCATCACAGGGTTCAGAGTGTATTACCACAGAAGAAAGTCAGCGACCTTGAAGCCACAACCCACCCCCGGCCGTACATAGACATGGATGGCAGTAAACAAAAAAAGGATATATTTTGGAAATATTTCCTGTGAGTCTGAGGTGTGAACCCATTTCCTTCTCTATCCATTATAAACTTGTTATATAATCCACAAGAAATGCTATTGTAAGACCGACCAGTCAAACATGGAAGTGTCTAATATTGCAGAATTTGTGCATTGTTGTGTGAAACCGAGGTGTTATATCCAGGAGTTAAAAGAATCAAAGAAATACAAGTACATTCTTCTAGAACTGAGGTCTTGGGGCTTTGAAGGCACAGCAGGACCCTCACCCTCACTGAAAGCACCTCAACTGACTGCCCAAATGCATGCTGGGAATTCTTCTATCAGATGGAGAGAAGGTGGTGGACCGAGCACCTTATTTTTGTTTTGTTTCTCTCCAGCTGTGCCTACACTTTGTTGCAAAGAGCAGCATGCCATGCTTGTTCGACAGAAAAGTTGGCATATCTGTGCCATAACGTGACACTCAAAGCAAAAATCTGAGAAAGCGTTTTTTTTGTTCTCACAGTTATGACTGATCTGCAAGCCCACAAAACTTCCTTTCATGCATACCGAAACTCTCTCACTGCTCAGTGGCGTATGACTGTTAGCAATGACAGAAGAGTACTGAGGAGCTCAGCACGGCATTATTGGTAAACATCAACTGCAGGGTTTCTCCAAATACCACTTTAAGTCATACCAAAGAGGCAGCCACAGATGTTGGTTATTCACTATGATATTTAAAGTCTTCTGCCTGCTGCCCTAACAGAAAAACAACAATGGCACCTGAAAAAAAAAAATCCCACAGCAGTGTTAAGAAGTAAAGTGAAAACTGACTTCACAGCCTTCATAAACACAACATGCAGCACACGGAGCTGTTATTTCTATAAATAGCGCTGGCTTCACGCACAACATATTGGCTAGTATAGCACACCGACAAGCACAAGCATCAGCCACAAGCTCTGAGCCTGTCACATGTGCCTGAGCATAACACACAAACAGCACAGACTCTGTGTCATATGCTTGCATGCACATGGAAATGTATTTTATCCTTCTTGATGTCACTTACCAGGGTGGGTTTGGTCACTGTTTTCAGTCCTATGTGATTTGCTTTCTTGTCTTTACTGGCAGGATGTGGTTAGACTTTTCTGTGTTCTGCTGTGTTGCTTTGGTAGAAGTAATTTTGTGCCCACGTGCCCATTAATCCAGTCAGTCTGACAGGAACAGTGACAGCAAAATTACCAGAAACAGAATGAACAATAGGTTGAAAAAAATGGATAGATGAATGGATTGATGGATGGTCTTTAAGGTCACCTTTCACTAAAACATAATGTGTTTTGGTTAATGTTACTGATGTTTGACTTAAATTGTGCAGAATGATTTGCAGTCACAGGACAAAATAAAATATGTGTACCACGCTTTTCAGCATATTTAAACAACTAAACAGTCGTGCCTGCAAAAAAGTCATCAAAGAAAAAACTCACAAGCAAAAAATAAGCACACATATTTTTTACACTTTCAAATTGTAAATTGGGAGCTCCAGATTGACTCCCAATGAATATATCCTCCTTTGGGGTCGACAGGTGGAAGCTATCTTATTTAAACCCTTTGACATGGAGGGTCTGATGTTTTCTCAGCTATTGAAGGGTGCACTGTCATGCCAAGATCTAAAGAGCTCTCTGGGGCCTTCAGACAAATGGTTGTGGATGTGTGTAACTCTGGTAAGGGATTTGAAAAGATTTCCACATTTTTGTGAAATAAGTAATTTCTCTGAAACGAACATCTTCTCCAAATAGATCTCAAACAACCGGCAGAGATTTTGACGTTAAAAGACGTTTCCAAGAACCCAGCCACAAGATCTTCATTTGCAACTGTAGAAGTCCATGCATGTACTATCAATAATACATGCACATATTTGAGCAGCATGTAAGGCAAACTAAGAAGAAAAAAAACCCCCTTTGCTTTCCAAAAAGAACCGTATAACAAAGCCATGGTTTGCCAGTGAACATACTGGCAAAAACCAGGCCTATTGGAATAATGTGCTCTGGACAGTCTAATCAAAAGATTTAGCTGTTTGGCCACAGTAAAGGACATGTTTGGCAATGACCAAAGACAGCTTCTTTGGAAGAAGCTCCTCATGCCAACTGTGAAACGTGGTGATTGAAAAGTTATGATTTTGGTTTACTCCACAGTCTCTAATACTCGGCAGCTTGCAGTCATTGATTCAACTATGAAATTTGCATCATATCAAAGAGTGAAGCCATCTGTCCCAAAGTTTAAGTTGGAAGTGGACCTTACAACAAGATAACGATCCTTAATACACTGACAAATCTACAAGAGTGGTTCAAAAAAGAAGAAACGGAGGCTTACGGAATGACTTAATTAAAGCCCAGATTTGAATCCAACTGAAATGTTGTTGGGAAATCCAAAACACACAATGCATGTAAGAAAGAATGAAAAACAAAAACAACAAAAAAACAAAAACATCTTGCAACAGAAGGGAGTTTTGCATGGAAGAGTAAAAAATTGGAATTTGGTGGAATATTATGCAAGGAATCTTGCTACAGCGGACAAGGCAGCAGGATGGTGCAGTGGTTAATGCTGTTGACTCACAGCAAGGAGATTCCTGGCTTGAACCCAGCTGGGGTCTTTCTTTGAAGTTTTCATGTTCTTATGCATTTGGGGGTTTCCTCCAGGTACCAGGACTTCCCACAGCCAAAACACATATGTTTACATGTAATTGGTGGATTTAAATTGGTTGTGGCTGTGAGGCAGATGAAGTGTATGCGTGTACCTTGTAGTGTGCAGTGTGCTATAAATGCTGGTACATTTACAAGGGTGTAAATTTTTCCATAGACTGACATCTGCTAACATTTTTGTTTAGTAA